CCAAATAAACAAATATTGCTCAAAAAGTTGTCAAACAAACAAATACAGGTCCGGATTTGGTTTGTTTGATTTGAGAGCAGCGCTGCCTGGATGCTTCTGATTGAATCTCAACGCCGTAGTCCCAAATCCAAGACACCGTATCCTTGGTTCGTTCGGCAAGGGTGAACCCCTTCCAGACGCGGAATATGCGCCGCTCCTCCTCTGAGGATGGCGTCCAGGATGTCAAAGGAATTTTCCCCGCGTCTAGACGGGCCCTTGGGAGTAGTAAACCATCGTGCGGGGACTCATTGCCAGCCGGTGTCTTCGGTTCGATGTTGGTCATCACTGGCTCGGCCATGTTTCAGCTGCCAGCCGCCTCGTGTAGCAGGTGGCCTAAGAGGGGTTTACCATACAAATTGCCTTAACAAACCGTACGAAATTTATATCTCCCCACTGTACCCTACAGCAGAGCGTCGGTTTCTTGCGATGCCGGCCGACTGGTCAATCCATCCATATCGTCAATCAAAATGAACTATGTCGTGGATTGATTGATTACATAACAATTCGAGTCGTGGGTTGACGTTGACGCGTGTTGAGGTCAATATGTTGGTCAATCAGTGGATTTCGTGAATTGATTCCTCACCGTGCTACTGCCTTTGCCAAGCCATTGGTTAGGGCATTCAGTCAATGTTTATACGATTGCTGCGGTCCGTGATGGTGATTTTCGTACTTAACAGGCGTTCTGGCTCCGTTGACATGGCCGGAATTGGACAATACATCTAATGCCATAACAGACAAGGCTGGATGAGACTTCTCCTGCGTCGGCTCAAGCCACCAGCAGACTTTTATCCATACAGCATATACCATTGGGAAGGAATCCTGTATGGATTATCAAACTTGTCTTAAGCGCAGTTTACCTACTGGATGGCCAAAAGTAGGAGATAAGTATCAAAACCAGTTGGAATGTGTGACCAAAAGAGAAGACTTCAAGATTTTGCCCTTCAGAAAATAAAGGATAATGGGCAGAATAATACAAACGATAATTAACCCCCTTCCTCCAATT